TATATATATATATAATAAACAAATAATAAATAAAATAGAAAATATTATTGTACATATAAAAAAATAAAAAGAAAATTTTAAAGATTAGTTAGAATAATTATAACAAGAAATAATTTAAAATAATTATTTTTAATAAATTTATGATTGTGTAATTGATGGTTGTAGAACACGACATTTCATGTGAAAAACATCCGTTGATTCCAGATTCCTCTTGCACTGCTGTTATACTAGATGTTATGTGACGCCCCTGGGTTCACACAAGGCTGTAGTCCAAGGTGAAACTAAGAATGTCAAACCTGCCATGTACCACACCGTGCAATAACATGTTTCACCATCATAATTCTATCACTCTAGTAGAGTCAATAACAGGTGTAGGTACAAAAGCAAGTAAAAAATAATACAATAGATAACTGATGAAATGATAGAGATCAAAATAATATTTTATCATCCAACATACAGAAATACAAAGTCAATGTCTGAAATGAATAAACTGGAGTTTCAACAAGTCTCGAATACATAAAGTCTGAATAATAGGAAATAAGGCACACAGCCTTTACAACCTCTAGAAAAAAAATCTCAAAATGTCTAAACAAAAGCCTACAGTGGAGTTCAAAAGAAAAGTATAACTATAATAGAATAACTAAAGCTATAGTGCCTCACCATCAACCTGCGACTCTCTGGGCTCCTGGCTCGTTACCTGAAAGGGGGAGGGACAACGAGCGTCAAAACGCTAGCGAGCAACATCACAACCAACCCCAAGGAAAAGGGCTCGTTGTGTACAGAAAATACAGTTATAATATATATAGAAAATCACTGATCCTATTTAGGTAATTACAATATGAGCATAAGTACGTCGAGCGAAATAATCCAAACAAGAAAACCCTCATGTATATACCATATAGCTCAAATTGTAAATACCTATGAATAAGAGGATTTTAGTATTTAGGAAATTACAACACGAGCATAGGTACGTCGAGCGAAATAATCCAAACAAGGAAACACTCATGTATATATCTTGTATCTCAAATTGTAAATCCCTAAATACAAAACCCAAAATCTAATACATGAATAGTAATAAAAGAAGTCAAACTCATCTCAGAACTTAATTACGGTGTCATGTCACAACTCATATAAGTGTCATGTCCAGTCTATACAAGTATAAGTGTCAACTCAATGTCTAAACTGATGTCCAACATATGGACAAATAGGTAAATGTCCAACACAATGATGAAATGGATTATAGTCCAACACGAGGACTTTAATGGATTATAGTCCAACACGAGGACTGAATGAACTGTGTAAATGTCGATGAGGTATGTGGAAAAATATACTTATACGAATTTCACACGCGTCTCGGTGTGTGGATCGATACTTGTGTCAAAAAGTCAACTCACATGTACAGATAAATCACTAACATTGTAAACTAGTGTCAGATAATCGAGGCGACCCCGAAAAATAACTCAAACAGATCAAGAATCTGTAAAACACCTCATCAGTTGACTCATGTGTCGACTGATGCCATCAGTCGACTGAGAGGATCAGACAAAACCACATCAGTTCGCTAGTCGACTGATCGGTCGATTGGGGAACTAAAAAAACCAAAATCAGCCCGTCAGTCGACTGATAGCTGGAAAAATCCCCCCGTCGGTCGACTGATCAGTCGACCGAACTGACGCAGAAACCTGATGCAGTTTCAATTATTTGCAAATATTTATCTAAAATCATCTTCATCAATCCCAAGCATAAAGATACTTATTTTAACATATATGTACTAAACTGAAACGAAAGATCTGTATGTAAACATTTATCAAAAACCTTAAACATATAAAAACATGTTTGATACGTTTTGAAATCCATAAATCATGAATTAACTCTTGTCAAACGTTTTCAGATCTAGATCTCTTTAATAAAACGTTGATGATCTTTTTATAACTGAAAATCTCAATATTTCGCATCATATACTATAAAGATTTATTCTTTGTACCAAAATACGTTTTAGGCTCAATAAAAACCCATTAAAACTCAATAAATTCGTGTAAAACAAAAGGGACAGAGTTGGGCGAGATGTTACTCGCCTCTGGAGTGTTGCAACACTCCTGGATCTGCGAGAGGATGATTCCCCTTTGCTGCAACGTTCGAACACA